TGGTTGGGGGGGAAAACTGCCAAAATATCCGTTGGGGGGGCCCACTAGCCGTTGCCCAACGGATAGAATTTTAAAAAAAAAAAATAAAAAAAAAATGTTAGGGGATCCCGCGAACCGGTCGGTTCATCCGGGCCGGGACCGGGCCGGGTCGACCGGGACCAACGGGTGAACCGGACCGGTTCCGGTCCCCTATCCCGAAATCCCCCATCCCGCCAAGTTCATACGGGACCGGGTCCGGCGGGCCGGTTCTCGGATCGGTCGCGGGCCGGGCCGGGCCGACCCGGTCCCCCTGCCACCCCTAGACCCAATCCACCGGGTCGTGTGGGCACCCACTCTAACACCTAAGTAGGAGAATCCTCATAACCCAATAGTTAAACATGCGGAAAATTTAAAGAAAACCGAGATGATTATAATAATATGATTTTATAAACAATATCTTTAGACCCTCTTTTAGTTAAAACTTATAAAGTAATTTAACAACTCCCATGAACCTAGTCTAAATAGGTACAAGAGCTACTAAAAGTACAAACTGGACAGAATAATAAGACACAGCTCCCACCATGCGGAAGGAAAAGTAGAAGCTGCTGGAGAATTCTTCGTCTTCACCTAATGAAACGTCACCAATCTTGGATCTAGACTATGCCAAAAAGGCATAGCAAGAGTAGTATCAGTACATACACACGTACTGGTAGGCATCATCGGTCAACCCGACGCCCACCGTAGAAATAAGAAATAAACTAGCAGAAATATACAATCGACCATCGCTTCTCCACCCTTTTCCCCTCCTTTGAAACACCTCAAGTTTACACTAGTACTCTGACTACTAACCGCCTTCTCGATCTACCTACTTACCAGGTACTAGATCATCGCCTAACCATTCCAACACATAAAAAGAGTATCCCAAATACAACTACATGCATTCAAACTATCCGCTCACATCATACCCTTACCTTCGCGTCACATTACAACCCATGAACAACCCTTGCTATTAGTTACTCGCTCCCTTGAACACTTTGCCTTTCCCTTATACGCACAAGTTCACTCCACACCAGGAACAATCAAATATAAGTCTTCATATTGTATACCCACTAAGTACAACAACATAATCACATCCATATATAGAACACATACCATGTCATCAACACGAAGAACAACAACGCATTTCACATTCCTCAAGCTTCACAATTATGCAAATCATTGGTCCTCTCATGGAACCCAAACCCAAACAGTTAGCATACCGAAACGTGGTACCCGATCCAATAGTTATGTCGGAACGTGGCAACCAATCCATAGTTATGCCAAAACGTGGCAATCGATCCAAGTTAGTTATGCCGGAACGTGGCAACTGATCCAAGTTAGTTATACCGAAACATGGTAATCGATCCAAGTTAGTTATGCTGAAGCGTGGCCGATCCGTTCATCAAACCATAATCACAATCACAATATATCCTCATAGTCATATAACACAATTCATTATTCATAGCGTTCGTCATTCCTATATCCTTATTTACAACAAGTGTGATCAATAATGTAATAATTGTATACCTACACATTTCACAATGAAGAAAGAACAACATACATCACTAAATCATAGAATCAGCCCCCTCCCCCCCCCCCCCCCCCCCCCCACAATGGATTATTCGTCAATGCACATCATGCAACCTTAATTCGATCGTACTCAGCCCTAATTCATCGTCTAAGGCTTCTTCCTAGGGTTTAAATCATAAATCATTCGGTGCACGAAGGCCTACGCATAATTCCTACCATTGATTTACATGTATTACGCAGTGAGCATAGATTTAAACTACTCAATTCATAAAACCTAGCCTACCTGGGCGCCAAGCAGTTGCACAGAGTTTTTGACCTCGATTTAGGTTTCCGAGCTTCGTGACAGTGCATTTGGCCAAGAATCCGCAAGATATCACCATCCTCTCGCTAGAAATCTTCTTCTCCTTCCTTCCCAAGCTTCGAATAGCTTTTCTGAGGTTTCTAGGGTGTTTTACGGCTTATTTAGATATTTAAGGAAGATGGAGAAAAATAGGATTTCTCGTAATTTACGTTCTGCCTCGCCTATCCCGCCTTGGCACCAACTTACTAGACCTTGTCGCCGCCGCCCGAGCGGCATCTTGCCCGCTATGGCGGGACAATGGCCCAGATTTTTCATGGATTTTTATTTCTCCTAAGTAACGATGGTTTGAGTCGTTACATATTTTATTTGTATATATAGTATATTTATGCGTATATATACATATAATATACATATTTTATACATAATTAACGTTTTCTTAAAAATATGATATAACAAACTGAACAATTAATAAAAATATAACATCAGAATAACAAATTTCAGTATAACTTTTCTAAGTCAAACGACCCGTAAGTGTGACCAACTTAATTTTTTCCATATTCAAATCCCACATACCAATAACCATGACAAAATTTGAGTAGATTGTTTTAGATATAAAAATATATATATAAAAAATAGTTTTGTCGTATCCTTTATGTGGTTATGTTACTAATTGTGATATAACGTAAACACAATAAATTCAGGACTATTCCTCAATAGAACAATGAAAATTTTAAAGTATCCCTGAGATCTCTTAGACCCTTTTTCTAATAAATAAAATAGAGGATTATAAACATTTATCCTTCATGAATTTTTTCGTTTCAATTTTTTTTAGTTTGCAGCCATATCCAAAAAACCAATGCAAGGAGAAATACTATTGAGGAAAAGCTACAAAATTTCACAATCAAGAGTTAATTAATGAATACTTAAGTGATATTTGTACTGTAAATATCAAGTTGAATGTCACGATCCAATCCGTGGGGACTGATACCCAACCAATCCCACTGTAGGCAAATCAACACTTAACATTCTAAACTCAATTAATCATCTAGCAATTCTAGCTAAATATATGGGAACACAACTAGATTCACCATTTTGTTCAATTTTTTCGATTATTTTTTATTCTCAATCCGCATAACCTATGCAAGGGTATTATGATCTTAAACAACTATAATAACGAGGTATCTCGTTAAATTGAATATGAACATCGAGAGAAAACATTCAAATTTAAAGTGGCTAAAATTATTCTTAAATTAATTCACTCTATAAATATCACTAAATATTTATTAGTATACAATAGTTTTCAACCATTTAAAGAAGAAGAAGAGGCTAAATAATAATTGCCAAAACAGATTTATTAAGGTAAATATGAGTACGAAAAAAGAATCTATTTTATTACCATATGAAAAAAGATAAATATCATATGTTTTGATATATGTTATTACCATAGACCAAATAAGTAATAAAGAATTTACGCGTAGACGCCTTGTGTTTTATTTATTTTATTTTATTCTTTTGACAAAAAGAATTGAGCATGAGAAACAGTTTAGTGGAGCATTTTCCGACTAAATTGTATCTTCATGTTCAATCATTTTTTATATATTATTCAACACTATATAAAGAGTCTATATTTTTATTTCACAAACGATGTGGGACTCCAACAGTAATGCTTTATGATCTCTTAAAGTGATACTGTAGTCATCATAAATTTGATTACTAAATCCAGAAAATTTTCGAATACGCTGTTCTACTTAGTCGGTGTTTGGTTCTTTCCAGATCTACAAAAAAAATTCTAGAGCATGATTGGAAAAAATTTCAATTAAGGTTGTTTTCTTAAAAAGTCATTCAACTTTCTTTTGATAATCACAAAGTCACTCAATTATGAATATTTTACCTACAAAATCGTCCAACCTATTTAATTATTTTTTTCATGGGAAACTTATAGAAATCCACTAGTTTAGGAGATAATTACTTAGATGCACTCTATTACGAATCTTACCAGATTTTGGTGCATTCAAATATGTCCAAATACATGTATCTCGAGATACATGGGGTCAAAATTAAGTTTAATCTATTTTAGATATATATTGTATCCAAGTGGATTCGCATTCAAGTATCTGGGATACGTAGACAAATCTCGCTTGCCTCCCTCGCCTACCTCCCATGCATCTTGCCCGCCACTCTCCTATGCATACATATATATACATGCATCTAGTGTGATTTGCACGTATATGAGATACATGATTATCTAGCTCATCTTTCTTCTTAGTGTATCTAGTAGCAGAATTAAATACATCTATTTAGGTGTATCTTTCTCAATATGGAAAAGGGTAATATTTCCCCTAATACTCTTAGAAAATGGTCATATTTACCCTTCGTCATACTTTTTTGATATATTTGCCCTTACCCTCCAACTTTGGACACATATTTGCCATTGTATAGTTAACTTATCATGTCACCATTTTTATTAGTCTACGTGATGCCTACATGACTCCTATATGGCTCCATGTGTATATATTTTTATTATAGTTCAAAAATTATTTTCTATTTAATATTATATCCAAACTCATTTAGTAAAATTCGACTCAACTAATGTGAAGACCCATTAATCTTAGGAAAAACTTACATAAATATACTATATTAAAAAAAGTATTTACAATCTCTTATTTCAATACCAATTAGCCCTAATTTATATACTCATCATCTTGGATCATATTATACAATCTCTTGAATTGATGTTGCAATCTTCGCAAATTGATTACTATGTTTAGGATAATCTCGAATATTTTGGCATCCTCGGTCGGTGTTGGCTTCTTTTCAAATAAATATACAAGAAGTTCTATAGCATGATATGAAAATTTTCAAACATAATTAAATAATTGTCAATTTTCATACACAAAATTGATTATCTTTCAGATAGTCACTCAACTAAGGGTTCTTTCCTCAGAAAGCCACTCAATTTTCTCCAATAATCTCAAAGTCACTCAACTATGAATGTTTTACCTACAAAATCACTCAACCTATTGAATTTATTTTTTCATTAGAATTTGTAGACATGCAATTTTATTTAAAACATAAATTGTAAGAAATAAAGAGATAGTCCCTCAAACCATTTTATTATTGACCCGTCCCCATTTGATCTTTTTTTCTCACCAAAAATTTGGACCATTTCTTGATTTGTGCGTGCCATCCTTGCGCAGGGACTATGCTAATCTTCTCTGTATTGTTCCAATTTTATCGAATTGCCCCGAAGGGACGTCCCCACTTGATCCACCCTACTCGAAATATAGCGTTGACCCTTTTCAATACTATGTTAGCAATAGCACATAACAGTTTAAAATATTCTCTAATCACTTCTTTTATATTTCTCTAACACTAAAAGAAGCAATATATCTAAGAAATATGTAAGAGGTGACTTGAGAGATATTATTTTAGGAGTTAAATTTATTGACGCAATTACTTTTCAAAAATCTCTAGGCAAATGAATTAGATTGTTTTTGATAGATTTTCTGCTTAAGGAAAAACAATCCAAAGAGATAGCTTGTCATGTGATGAGCAAGACAAGAGAGTGTTGGTTTTTCCCTGATTTTCTTTCCTTATTTGAAATTTATTTTTTTCCTTAAAAAAAAGTCAAAGTATTATCATAAATGCTTGAACTTTTTCTGAAAGGAAAATATAATTTTCTTCCATATTTGGTTTATTCTTTCCTTAGAGGAAAAGTTTGGAGATCTATAAATTGAAGATCCCTATTCTCATAGCATAACACAATAGAATCCACAATGTAGTCGTTTAGTGAGTTTTGTTTATGGGGAGATTTAATCTCTCAACAGTTTTAATATTTTTTCTTTATATTAGTTTTCATATAATAATATTAGTTTTTAGTATAAGTTGTTGTCATCTAATTTATCAATCATATTATTTGCAATTGTAAGCTTCCGCATGACGCCCAATTCACCTTGATAACCTAACAGAGAGAGCTAGAGAGCAAGATAATGAATCATTACGCTAAGAGATTTATGTCATATGATTATTGCTCGTTTACCAATTATGATATATTCCTATATAATAAGGTTCAATGAACTTCTCATGAAATTGCGAACAACCACTCATATTGTCGCAATCCAAACACCTAATCGATAGGAGCGATGTGGGGTGTGTATAAAGGGTATGGACTAGCTATTTTGAGTAGATTGTTGAAGATATAAAAATTTAGTGTTGTCTTATTCTTTATGTGGTTACATGATATAACTTAAACAAAAAATGTCAGGACTATTCCTCGACAAAACTATGAAAATGAAAAATATAGGAAAAACTACAAATTACATACTTCACTACCATATTCACAAATATTATCTATACTTTCAAATTATTACGTATTTTAATACTAATTAAGAGTTTCCTACCATATATTGAGGAATATACACTTAGATACATGTAGTTTTGCTACCAGATACACTAAAATAAGGAGAATGGTGAACGAGATTGGGGAGCGACAGCAGCGAGATTCGTATGTATCTCGGATACATGCCAATCACACTAGATACATATATTTCTATGTATCTGGTGTAATTCATATGTATCTGAGATACCATATACATACGAGAGTGGCGAGTGAGATGAGAGAGAGAGGTATGAGATTTGTTATGTATACCAGATACATGCGAATCCACTTGGATATAATATATCTAGAAGAAATTTGACTCAATGTATCCTAAGATACATGCATCAGGATGTATCTGGATGCACAAAAATATGGTAAGATACGTAGTAGTGCAAACTAGAGTATATTCAAGTAATTAACTCCTAAACTAGTAGGATTCATCCAAGGGTATTATGATCTTAAAAAACTACAATAACGAGGTATCTTGTTACATTGAATATGAACATCGAGAGAAAATTAACATTCAAATTTCAAGTGGCTGAAATTATTCTTAAATTAAGAGAAAAGACATAAAGTCACCAGTGAAGTTGTCCCATATTTTCAAAAAGACACCTTAACTTTGCAACCGTCCAACTACCCCACTAAACAATTTTGAACATTTATTATTATATCATTTTTTGATCAACCCTAGATTTTAAGAAGCAAGTGTGTTCACACACCAATCATTACATGACACATGTTAATTTAATTTAAAATGTATTTTTTTTTCATTTTAAGTTTTTTCTTTATCTTTTTTTTTCTTTATTTCTCTCTCTCTCTCTCTCTCTGACTTATTTTAATGTAACGACCGGGTTTTGTCGTTATAGAAAAGCCAACGGGGAAAACTTTTGGGCAAAAAAACTTTTTCGTAGTAACTTGGAATTTCCCAACCTATTCCAGATTGGATGAAATCGGAGTCATTGAGGTATAGGAAAATCTGGTAGCAATTTGGTGACCTAATTATGATTTTGATTACATGAGTAGTTAGATAAGTCGTTAAGAAATCCGTACGACTTTACAGAATTGAATTCGAGCGAGTAGAACTCCCGAAATTGATCTTAGTATGAACGGGTAGTTTCTGAGTGACGTGGGTTGAAGGCGTGTTGTGAAATAGGGGTTTTAGAATTCTTTAAATTGCCCACTGTTTCATGCAAGCCGCTTTGGCGGTGGTTTCTGCCGCCAGGGCGGGGATGCTGTAGTAGGGTGATAACCGTTGTGGCGGGCCAGACGCGACTAAAAGTCGTAAATAAACCCCAAAAATGTTTTATTCTGTAATTTTTGAATTTGAGAGCTAATGAACGAGCCCAGAGCTGTTCTTGATAGTTTTTCGCCATTCTTGAGGTTAAAGGTAAGATTTTCACTCCCCGAATTCATTTTTCGATCCGTAGAACGTAATCTAATCGGTAATTATCGATGGGGGAGAGTTTTGATCTAGAAACCATGGTGGAAAAAGCCCTAATTTGGATACTTGGGATCATGAGTATGATCTAGGGTTGTAAGATTTGTTAGTAATCCGGGTAATTAGTGATTGTTTATTGATTCCCGTATTATATTGATTGTTTGTAGACCAGGAACAAGCGGAACGAATCCGGAAAGGGAAGGATCAAGTTTCTTAGGGTTTCGAGGTAGGTGATTGTTGCGATTCTATGATTGTGTGACGTATGTTTGTTCTTGCTTCATTATGATACATGCATGTATGCGAATGCTGCATTATTGATCACACTTGTTGTAAATGAAGATAGATGAATGATGAATGCCATGAGTCATGACTTGTTTGTATGATTATGAAAATGTACTTGTGATTATGATTGTGGCTTGTTGAATGGATCGGGTGTTGTATTCCGACACACTAACTTGGATCAGTTGCCATGTTTTGGCATAATTATGGGATCGGTTGCCACGTTCCAGCATAAACATTCGATCGGGTACCACGTTTCGGCATACTAACTGTTTGGTTTTGGATTCCATGAGAGAACCAATGACTTGTCATAATTGTGTATCTTGAGAAATATGCAGTTGTTCGTAAATGTTGATAATATTGTATATGTTCGATATATGCATGTGATTATATTGTTGTATTGACTTATGTATGTTGCACTTAGTGGGATAGTCGCGTGATCCTATCAGTACACTATGGTTGTGTATTAATACTGCACTTGCTCTTTCTTTGTTGAGTACAAGACATCTTCAAACGGCTATTGACATACCTCGTTTAGAAGATCAGTGATCGTCGTTCGAATTCAAGGGTGAGCCAGTTCTTCTAGGCTGCCATGAGTTCTTTTTTCATCTATGTCCATATTTCGGACTTAGACTTTCTAGTTAGTTAATTAGTTTATTAGTATGTGGTTGTATCCCTTCTTGTTTAGACTTGTTGACTTTAGATGTTTTGATACATTGACTTTCAGGTTCTAGGTGTATTTTCCGCATTGTTAGTTGTTAGATCTTTTGGAAGTTTATTGGAACTTTAGTTTTTAACTATTATTCCTGTTTTCGTATCCTTAAATGCTTTAGTTTTTTGTTTAGTTGCTTGGATTGGGTTGTAGTAGTGGTTCTCCCATCGAAGGGTTAGTGTGGGTGCCAATCACGACGATCTGGATCGTGACAAAGTTGGTATCAGAGCCTAGGTTCATTGATCTAGATGTATCAAAATAAGTCTAGTAGATTCTTGCGAAACGGTACAGGGACGCCTTTACTTTTCTTTGAGAAGCTATAGGACTTTAGGAAATCTCTTTGTTTTCTCTTGTATCTTTTCGTGCTATGACTTGATTCCAATTGGTATTTGGCGATTCAAATTGGTATTTAACCTCTTTCACTCTTTTGTTCGCAGATGGTCAATTCTAGATTCAACGGCGTCAGGCCCGTAGCTCTCGTTAATGCTCTAGCTGAGGAATCTGCAGCGAGAGGTCGTGGTCAGTGCTAGGGGTAGAGGCCGAGAAAGAGTGGCACCTACTAGAGATAGGGTACCGATCGAACATGCTCCATAAAATGAGGCCCATCCCGTGCATCATGAAGAGAAATAGGAGAATGTTTAGGTTGAGAATGTTGAGGAGGTTGAACAAGAGGAAAAGGTACAGGCTGAGACTACCAGTGTTCCTCTTATAGACCCAGTGTTAGCTCAACAAATCATGTCATTCCTGAAAGGGTTGGTTGGTCCTGGAGTACTTGCTTCCTTCTGCTCAAGCAACTAAAGCTCCTGCCAATCCTTTTATTGCTATCATTGCCCCAAGGTGGGAGGGAATATAGGTAATGATACTTTCTTTCGTCCTTTGTTGGGTTCTGTTATGACTGGTAATGAGCATGAAATGTTGACGAAGTTTTTGAAGCTAAAGCCTCCTTTATTTCTTGGTTCTGAGAGTGAGGATGCTTATGAGTTTATCTTAGATTACTATGAGAGGCTTCATAAGTTGGGAATTGTCCATCAACATGGGGTTGAGTTTGTGACTTTTCAACTTCAAGGTGAGACCAATCAGTGGTTGAGAGCTTATATGGAATGCAAATCTCCAGTTTTACCTCCACTCACTTGGACCCAGTTTCATGCTCTGTTTTTAGAGAAATATGTGCCTAGGACTTTGAGGGATTGTAAGAAAGATGAGTTCATGGCTTTGGAGAAGGGTGGTATGTCTGTGGCTACTTATGAGGCCAAGTTCCATGCTTTGTCTAGATATGCTACTCAATTGGTGACTACTGAGGAGGGGAGGATCCGTTTATTTATTAGGGGATTGAACCCTGAGTTGCATGTATTATTTGTTCATATGACCTCTGTAGGGAGAAACTTTAATGAGGTAATAGACTTTGTGAAGAAAGTAGAGGGGGTGAGGCAAGACGGTCATGCTAAGGC